TCTAGCAGCTAGCATTACCGTGCTGCTGTAGTGTAGTGGTAAGGCTCTCGCTTGTTATGCGGCTGGTCATGTGTTCGATTCCCGTCGAGTGCAAGAGTTTTGCAAATCACGTTTGGTACCTAGTCAGAGCTCCCACTCCATCTTTTGACATTTTTTCGCATGAGAAGTCATTTACAGTTACTATTACACTTAACGCGTATATTGAAGATGGTGTAGCCTTGTGTGTTCCTTTTTAATTTTCACCGTTGGTTTAGAAGAGCAAAACAAAGAAAAGACAAGAATCCTAGCTGCGATCTTCCTCTCTTCGCGAGTTGCTGGACTACTGTCTTGCGGTGCTCCGAATTCACCGAAAAGTATTGAGACTACCTTCGCAGGAGAAAACGGCATGATCAATGGATATGTGGATCAGTGACATGGCGACAATTCTACTTGCCGTGACAGACACTCGATCTCCACGTTCTGACAAGGCCCTCAACCGAGTATATGTCAAAACTGAATGCAGCATGATTTGCAAAATTCTTGCCCTCGACGGAAATCGAACCCATGACCAGGAGCACAATAAGCGAGAGCCTTACCACTACACTACGAAGCACGAATGTGCTAGCTGCGCAGCCAAATTTGACAGGTCAGAACTTGCTTGGCAGGTTCATTTTGCAGTTTTAACTTCCATATTTGTAATCACCCTTCAATGCTCTATCGATACAACTAGGTCTCGATTCAAAGTTCCATGGGAAGTTCAATGCCTTCCCGGTTAGGCCGCTTTTCTGCGAATTGTTCCTAACCCTAGCCCTACAAACCTCATAAAACGTTTTTGGGCTTTAACTGGTCGAATCCCAAGGTGATCTGGGCTATGCAATGACCGTGCTCTGATGATGTAATTGTATTAGGGGGTAAGGTGAATGGCTGGTACCAGATGTTCGTCGAAGCTCATCGCGCTCTCCGTTCGCACATCAATAACCATCGGCAATTTCGAAGAGCGGCAACGGCTATCTACCAAAGTTTTTTTCACGGCTCGTAAAAATTCAAAGGTACCAGGGGAGGTTCAGCAGCGGCCTTCTCATTAAGAGTGCAGTACAGATGGAAAAGGGTTGAGGACAGGAAAAACACTCTGATTAGATAAGGAGGTTTGGCGGCGAGCGTGGCGACGGGTGAGTCCCGTGGGAAAGAGCGCACTTGCATGGAAATGCATTCTAGTAGTCTCGATGACAAATTTATCGGGGAGCTGGAACCTCGCTGAGAACCATAAGCAGGGTGAGCAATAATCACTGGCAGGAGGGGTGCGAGGAATGATAGGGAAGGGGCAAGAACAAAAGGTGCTACCCGACAGAATACGGTTGCAAGATCGATTTCTAACTAACCTACCTACCTACCTGATCTAGGGAAGGGCTTTTGCTTGGTAATCAAATATTCTGAAAGAGGATTTTACCGTCATCGGTAAGAAGGCGGCGTAAAATTGCCATTTCAGAGCTGGAACACTTTCCACCACGACCGGTGAGAAGGATCCAGGTGATGGAAGGCGATTCACTGACGATCGACTGCCAAGCCCCAAGAGGCACACCGCCACCGACATTGTTCTGGCTCTACAGGTAGGC